ACTATTCCTGGAAAAATAATGCATTTTCGCACGTAACCGACCATTCACAGCGAATATGACTTGCAAAAACGAATTTTTTATACTGACCTCAAGTAATGCCTCTCGCGATTGTGGCTGCCATAATGAGTAACATGAGAGCTTCCAATTCTGCCCAAAAAGTTTACTCCAAGAAACATTCAAGTCACTCAACAATCATATTTTCCATAAGGACTGGCGTGGGCCCTAAACCTCTCTTCTGCTCTTTCTCAAAGACCTTTGCACGAAAAATTTAAGGGAATCCTGTGTACTCAGTTTCATTTATTAATATTTGTGAGCAAAGAAGGAAACGTGTAAAAAAATGGCCAAACCCCAACAAATTAGTAGAAAAAGGAAAGAGCACAACTTACGAATCGTCCTCATAAATCACTCTCAAACTTCCACAACAGGCAAGAAAAAAAGAACAAGAATGAAGGGAAGAAGATACTCAACATGAACATATAATATCTAACGTCTTCATAAATAATTCTTGCCGTCAAGTGGAAAATATGGTAAACCACAAACAAAACAAAATAATAAAACGATTTAACGCACAACTGTAACTACCTACAACAGATATCACATTCAAGACGGAAGTTGCTCAAAAGTAACCTGCGATGTCTTTTTTTTATACTTTTCAAGCGATTATATCCTTAAAACACCTCGTTTCAATTTATACAATAGTTTTTTTGGACAATAAGGTTAAGAATGTTACCTCGCAGCAGGACACAAAGGACTATAGTTTTTCTAGTGTAAACTCAAAATAATAGCAAAGAAATATGTAAAAAATGAAATGAAGAGAAAGACAGAGTAAACAAATATTGAACCGAGTAAAATTGCAGCAGAACAAAAAACTGTTCTTAGCAAAACAATTGAATTACAAAAATGTAGACGAATTTTGAAACAAGTGCATGACTGTACAGCAAAAGACCTTAAGCAAATAAAATTCTCAATGATCATTCATGAAAAAAACAGTATTTCTGAACAGTTTCAGGGAAAGAACGAAAGGTTTCAAGAAAAAACGGTAGTAGGCAAGTAAAAATTTACCGCTTTTCTTCTTAATTACTGACACCCAACCCACTAAAAACCCAAATCATAAGAAATCAAGAAATACAAATAACGAACAACAAAAACGCATTATTAAGGATGGAATGTTTACTTTAAGCCCGCTTACTTCAAGAGAGAATGAACCACGGCACTTGAATTCAGATTTTTCAGATCTTTGTAGGTCTGACCGGTTCCAACAAAAACAATAGGTTGACCAGTAATATATGTCATAGATACGGCTGCTCCAACCTTTAAAAAACTGTTTTTGAAATATCAACTTGTTGTCTGATAAAAAGAAACTGCTATTTAAAAATTACGACATAAATTGTTGCTCCATAAAGAAAAAAAAAAGTGGAAGTCAGTTACTTTGTCATCAATTGTATCAAACTTCGTCAAAACTATTCCATCAATAAGTCGAGCGTCCGCATTCATCGCCGCATGGTCCGCAAGTGCTTGATTGAACTTAACAAGCTGGTCAACAGCTTCATTGCCGACTAAAGCCTCACCAACGAACAAAACAAGATCTGGTTCATTTACCCGAATCAACTGCAAATTTTTCAGATGAAGAACTTTGGAGCTAAGAAAAAATAAGGAACAATGACCAAGAATCAATCTCAAAGAAAATGAAGACGTTAAACTGCTTTTTTTTTCTTGTTATAGAAACGTTTCAGAAACTGGAAACGTTTTGACCCACTTTTGCAAGAGAACGCATCAACGGTTCGTTATCCTGCATGCGACCTGCTGTGTCAACTAGCACGACATCAATCTGTCTCTCAACCGCTGAAATGTTAAAACCGATTCTTAATATTAAAGTACAGGTAGAGGGAAAGAAATACTGGGCATTATCAGAACTACCAATTGAGACAGCAGCAGCAGCCAAACCGGCTGGATCTTTACCGTAACCCTGCTCATAAAGCTGAACATGATTAGGATGAAGAGCATTCAAATGTTTTGTGTGCGTACGCAACTGTTCTACTGCTCCCGCACGAAACGTATCCCCAGCAGCAATCAACACCCGATGACCTCAAAAAATTTCTATTAAATAAAAAAGTAAAGTTTAGAAATAGTTAAGAAATTATTGACAAGAAAACTAATATTAACGTAGTTGGCTTAAAAAATTCTACCATTTTCGTTTAGCCAGAAAGTGATTTTCGCTAGGTTAGTTGATTTTCCGACTCCGTTGACGCCACAAAAAACAATCACATAAGGACGTCCCTCACGCTTAGCCTCCATAACATCGCGTAAAATGTCTACACGTCTTTTAGGAGTAAGCAGCTAAAAATCAACGCAATGAATAACGAAAATCTAATAGCTTATTAGGTTTTCTAATAAGAGATGTTTAAAAAGAAACTAAATTCAATTTTGCATACTTGAACCAATGATTCACGAAATGCCTCCTTCACTATGTTGGTAACACGGTTAAATGTGCCAACAACCTTGCCTTCCAACTTTGACGCTACAGACTGACAGAGTTTTTCTGCAGGTTCCGCAGCAACATTCTTAGCTGGAATCAAAAAAAAGATAATAACCACAGAATAATATAAACGATCTGAAACAAGAAACGAAGAAAACTCTGGAAACAGCGCACCTATTAGAGTTTCACGCATCTTATCAACTACTGGTTGTATATCCTCCATAGTTAATTTTTTGTTTCCGACCAAAGATTTAAAAGCAGAAAACCATCCACCGCCTTTCTGACTATCAGCCACTACCCTAAAACTCGAATTCTAGCAAATTATGCTTTAAAAACTATCTAAATGGCAAATAAGATGTATTTTCGGAACAAATGCAGAAAAATCTCTCCAAAAGTAAATTCAAAGGAAAAAACAGTAAGCTTACATTTCTTCCTCATCTTCTTCCAGCTCTTCCTCACTATCTTCTTCATCCAGTCCTGGAAGTTCACCTTTTAAATGACCAACAAATCGCCTCTGAAAATATATTCTCTCTAAAACACGAAAGAATATCTACCAGGAATAAGTAAAAACCTCATACCTGGTCCTCAACAAATCTAGCATCTTCAGTTTCCGTTTGTGCAACATCATCACCACTGCCACCGATTTTGCTATAATCCAGCACAGCTGCATCAGCAGCACTAACATTTCCACTCAATCCCCAAACCCTAGCTTGCTTACCTTTCTTCACTTCAGCCACACCGTGCTTTTCTACTTCACCGGTTCTACAAATATTATTTTTAAAATAAACAAAAAATAAGATCCAAAAGGTTTAGTGAGGATTATTAAGGTAACAAAGCGAACTAAGACTGAATCAAGATTTTGAAAACATTTGATCAGGAAAAATTTCAAGAAAAAAAAAGAAAGAAAAAAACAATCAAAACATGCTTCTTTGAAGTTCCTCCTTTCTTTTTGAAAAATTCCGCCCTTCTTTTACGCATCTCCTCATCATCATGGTCACTTTTCGGCGACTTAGGAGGAACCAGTACTGGTTCAGCAGTTTTCCTCTCCGTTTCGACTTTACTAAAAATTGCAAAACCTCATTTCCACACATGAAAACGATAAAATAATTAACAAACACAAAATTAAAAAAATACAACTAAGACGCAATTCAAAAAGCTTCCCCTTACTTCACAATTACTTCTTTTGCGGCAGCCTTTTCAGGCACTTGTTTCGCTTTACTTCCGCCGTCTTTTTCTTTATTTGCTTTTTGTGCTCTGTCACTAGGGCGTTCAATCATCGACGCAACAGTCTTTTTTGACTTTTCACTTTCCTAAACATAAAGAATTAAACGGACAAAAAATTTAAGATAATTAAAACCTGTACTAGATTCCCAAAATAAATAAGTTAGAACTAAACAAAAACCAACTCTGGCGCACCAGTGGGAGTAAAAGTTCAGAATTATTACCCTATTTTTTACTTTTTTAACATCTTACCTCAAATGTTCGCATCACTTTAGCAGGTTTGGACACGTTCGCAGCTTGTGCTTCAAGATAGATCCTAAAAACTGCAATGAGCCATTCAGTTGTGAAGTATCCGCGGCTTTCCTAATGTTTAATAGTGACTGCAGCAAAGAACGTAACAATTTGGAAGACTTTTACACCAAGAAACTTACTTCTGAAACGAATCTGTAAACTGCTTAAATATTTTGTAGCCGCCCGTATAAAGGGTCTTGTTGTCTAGTAAGACATTTTTATACATATCCCTGAAACGCCTCTGAACGTCTGTAAGAAGTTGGTCCGTAAACGAAAGCTGTATCGCACTTTGATAAACCACCTACAACACACTAGGGAGTAAGAAAAGTATTCAATTTTAATACGTAAAGGTGTAGGTACCTTACCAGGAAAATAAGCTCAAATTCATTATCCAGTTTATACTTTATGGTTACATTGTTGTGTTTGAACATGTTACCGCTACTCCGCTCCTAAAATGGATCAGATGATCATGAAACGAAGGATAACACACAATCGATATGACGTTTCTGACACCACTTTTTTTTTAAAAAAAAATGAACCTTGAAACTAGTAGGAGCATTAATAAAACAAAGCAGAAAAAAA